CACAGTTCTGGAACAACATCCTATGGACAGATGAGACCAAGATCAACTTGTACCAGAGTGATGGGAAGAGAAGAGTATGGAGAGAGTTTGCCAAACGACATCTAAAAAAGCCTTCACAGTTCTGGAACAACATCCTATGGACAGATGAGACCAAGATCAACTTGTACCAGAGTGATGGGAAGAGAAGAGTATGGAGAGAGTTTGCCAAACGACATCTAAAAAAGCCTTCACAGTTCTGGAACAACATCCTATGGACAGATGAGACCAAGATCAACTTGTACCAGAGTGATGGGAAGAGAAGAGTATGGAGAGAGTTTGCCAAACGACATCTAAAAAAGCCTTCACAGTTCTGGAACAACATCCTATGGACAGATGAGACCAAGATCAACTTGTACCAGAGTGATGGGAAGAGAAGAGTATGGAGAGTGGCAGCTCTTTGGATCTCATCTTGAGAGTTGACAGCAACAGATTCCACCAGCAAATAGCACACTTGAAATGAACTCTGGGCCTTTTATCTGCACATTGTAATTGGGGTACTGAGGGGATATCACACACCTGGCCATGGAACAGCTGAGAAGCCAATTGTCCCATTACTTTTGGTCCCTTAACAAGTGGGAGGCACATATGCAAACTGTTGTAATTCCTACACCGTTCACCTGAGTTGGATGTACAAACCCTCAAATTAAAGCTGACAGTCTGCAGTTAACACACATTGTGTTTGTTTCCTTCCAAATCCATGGTGTGGTGTATAGAGCCAAAGATGTTAGAATTGTGTTGATGTCCCAATATTTCTGGACCTGACTGTATATTTAATTTTCTGTACTGTTTTAAGTGTTGAGTGTTTTTATTATTGTCAGCCACCCAGAGTCACTGGTCTGAGATGAGTGGCTATAAAAATGAATGAATGAATGAATGAATGAATGAATGAATGAATGAATGAATGAATTTCATTCAGAGTCAAAGATGGAATTTCCCTGGAATTATTAAGCTCACAAACTCAAGGTCACTCTGTCTTGGATGGGTTCTGATTCCCTTCCTGTTCAGACCCTGACAGCCTCAAGGCACTGAGTCAGCACTGCCACCACATTACCTATTCAGCCCAGTGATAAGATGTATAGCTGGGTATCATCAGCATATTAATGACACCAGACCCTGTGCCAGTGGATAATTGTCCCAGCAGCCTCATAGATATTAACAAGGAAATCCCTGAGGCACTCCAGAAAGTAGAGATTTCCAGGCAGATCTCTCCTCTCCTGCCAAAATAGAGTGGAACTGATCCTTCAGGAAGGAAGAGAACAATGCAAAGTAGTGCACCCACCCAACTCTATTTTTATTATTTTTATTAAGACTTTTTTCCATAGAATAAAAGACAAATTAAAAAAAGAAACAAAAAAGTGCAAGAAATGAAAAAGAAACTAAAATACATAAATGATTTCCAACCTTCTTTTCAACAGATAATTACAATCTTATTGTCCATCCTCTCTCTTAGATGTTATACAAGTCCATTCAGTCCCTCATTTAATCTACATCTTTCTTAATCTTCAAATCCATAAATCATCATATCATTTCTTTCTTCTTTCAGCAAAAGGTTTCCAGTCTTTCAAAAAAGTTTTTGTTGTATGCACTTACTCCACCCTCATCCCTTAGAGTGGGACCAGAAGAATACTATGGTCGATGGAAGGCTGCCAAAGGATCAAGGAAGACTCCCTTGATCCTTGTTGGACTCCCCTGATCCTAGTCCTGGTCATCTGCAAGTGCAATCAATGCAATTTCTATGTTGTATCCTAGCTTAAACCCTGACTGCCAACAGTCCAAATAATCCACTTCTTGGGCCCTTTATAGTTGTAGGGCTGACAAGAAAAGGAAGGTTGGAGACAGATCTATAGTTGTCTAAGATAGTTGGCTCAAGTGAAGGCTTCTTGAGCAGGGGGCATACCACAGCTTCCTTCAGAGGTGACAGAAATGCTCCCTTATTCATTCTTTCTGTGATATCAACAGAAACCTAGAAATTCCTTCCTTCCTTCCTTCCTTCCTTCCTTCCTTCCTTCCTTCCTTCCTTCCTTCCTTCCTTCCTTCCTTCCTTCCTTCCTTCCTTCCTTCCTTCCTTCCTTCCTTCCTTCCTTCCTTCCTTCCTTCCTTCCTTCCTTCCTTCCTTCCTTCCTTCCTTCCTTCCTTCCTTCCTTCCTTCCTTCCTTCCTTCCTTCCTTCCTTCCTTCCTTCCTTCCTTCCTTCCTTCCTTCCTTCCTTCCTTCCTTCCTTCCTTCCTTCCGTAATAGATGGTGGCTAAGGATGGATCAGAACCTGTCTCTCTGACGCCATTCCAACATCTTAATCACTATACTATATTGGCTCTTAAAATATATGAAATTGAACACTTAATTAAACACAGTATATAACACTTTTGCTGCTGGACCACTACTTAAAATCTTAGTTCATTTTATTAGCCACAAATTCTTAATTTTGTTTCTTTCTAATGAAGAATTACCTTTTAAAATTTCATTATCTTCATGATCAAAAACACTTATTAATATTTTATCATCTTCTGCAATTGAAGAACCAAAATGCATTAAACAAGATCCGGTTTAATTTCATGAATTTTTCTATGCCAGTAGATACTGCTATGTATACAGAATATCCCTTTGGATCTTATTATTCTTATTAATCATTTATATAGAACCATAAATGAATAAAAAACAGTGCCTGTGATTTATAGCTTGTATATTTGTATGCGTGTGCGTACGTGTGTGCATATATATATATATATATATATATATATATATACATACATATATATACACACACACACCCACACACACACACACACGCATATAAGTGTGTGTATGTATAATGAATAATTCCTGAGATAGTGAGGATTAGGAAATAAACTTCCTTACAATGTATAATAATAGATACTTTATGATGAGTGAGTTCAAATATATTGCCTTAGAGAATGTATATAAATTATATAAGTTTTCTAAAGGTAACCAAGCTTCATGTTTCCATTTGTAATGCTTAAATAAACAAGTAAGTTTCTTTTATACATTTTTAAGGATCCTAATGTTAGACCATTTTGAGATGGAATTGATCATTCATACCTGATTGAATATAAAGATTTCACTGAAAATAGTGACACAAATACTAGCTCTCTTCAGAAGTTGTTGAAACCAGAACCCCTTGAATGTTTCGGTTAAGTTATGCCCCTACTGACGTCTCAAATGACGTTTCCAAGAGAAAGTGTACACATGTACAATAGCATGTGGAGAGGCTTCCACTTAACCCAGGATCTTGTTAATGCTGAGTCCTCTTTGCTTGTCTGTATATATGTAGGCCTTCCTTCTGCAGAGGGATTATCACACTGACTTTTGTCATTGTACTTGCCCTTTGGAATAGTATGCACCTCAGAAATTTGTGTGGCTCCCACCTTGCCTGCCTTCAAGCTTTCTTTAAAAAGGCTTTTCCCCCAGGTTTTGGGTTAAGGTAGATGGATGGGCCCTTTGGAACTGAAGGAGGATGGGAAAGGATGATTTTCTTCCCTTGGATGGTGGTTTTATAGATATCTTTGTTTTATGGATTTGTTGTATTTTTTACTTTTACTTTGAGATTTTGCCCAGAGCTGTCTGGAGTTGGAGGGCTTAGACTTTTAATAAATAATAAACAAACAAATAAATAAATGAAATAAAACAACTTGGTGATTCGTGAAGTTGCCAGATTTTGCTGAAATGGATAAATTGATTTCTTTGATTAGAGAAAAGATCATTTTTGATTGCTCATCTGCCTCTTCACCAATTCATCAGTTTATTCATTGATTACACTAATACATTGGCATATTACCTAAATCCTTAATATGGACTTTTTGAGCTAGTGTAGGAAGTATGAGATAAACAACTTAATAAAAGTGCCATCAGGGGAATATTTAAACATTTTTCATTTAAGGAGGGCATATAATAACTGCTGAGAATTGACTGAAGAAAAGTACCATATTTTTCCGACATAAGATGCCCCCATGTACAAGA